CTATCTCAAAAAAAAAAAAAAAAAAAAAAACAAACAAAACCAAACCAAAAGGCAAAAGCATTTCTCAATTTGGCACAGGCTGTATTCAATCTCCTGAGTATACGTGTGGGTCTGTGTTCCGTTTCGTTGCTGGTCCGTGTGTGTCCTCATGGCTGCCCTCTCATCATGACCTCATGGAAAATCCTCCTAGTCCCTCACATGGCCTCTCCACCTTTCTTCTCCTCACACTCCTCTGGTCTCTTCTCTCTCTGGTCTCTTTGGGACCACCCCCTACTGTAATTGGAAGTCCCACTCTATTCTCTTCTGCCCAGCGAAGGCCACATGGGCAGACTAAATGGGAGGGCACTAGGCTATATCCCATCCTCACTGCCATTAGGGTGCTGGGGTGGCAGAATGCAGCCTAACATAGGGGCCCCAGTCTAGGTGACAAGGCAGGCTGAGGCCAGGGGTTCCCAAACTCCCAGGTGAAGAAATCCCCCCCCCCAGATAATTACATTTACAGATTAAGTCAGTGACAAGAATTATTTATTTTGCATTGCTGGGGTCTCACGTAGACCAGACTGACCTACATTTCCAACTCTGAGAAGCTTTTTTTTTTTTTTGCCTTTTTTTTTTTCCCTCCTTACACGGTTTCTTTGTGTAGTCCTGGCTGTCCTGGAATTCATGGTGTAGACCAGGCTGTCCTTGAACTCAAGTTCTGCCTGCCTTTGCCTCCTGAGTACTGGGATTAAGAATGCATGTTGCCACCACCACTCAACCTTGCCTGCTAATTTTTAAGACACAGTCTCACCACATAACCCAGTCTGGACTTGAATACACGGCAAATCCTCTTGCCTCAGCTGCCTAAGAGCTTGCCTGCCTCCAGACTTGGGATATAAAAGTTTAATTTTATTATTTAAATTTTTCTGTGAGTATTTTGCATACATGTCTGTATTTGCATATGTGTGCTTGGTGTCTGCAGAGGTGAGAAGAGAGCTTTAGATCTCCTGTAACTGGAGTTACATACTACTGTGAGCTGTCATGTGGGTGAGGGGAACCGAACTCTGATCTTCTTCAAGAGCAGTCAGTCAAGGTGACTTAACCACTGAGCTATCTCTCCAGTGTGGGAGTTATTTTTTTCTTCTTCTTTTTCTTTTTTCATTAACTGTACTTGAATGGAAGCCAGGATTTGCACATGTGGGAGCCAAGCACTCAATTTCTACGCTCCTCTTTGAAGTCCATGAACCTAGTTTTAGTTTTGTTACTAATTTAGTTTGTTTTGTCTGTGTGTCAGGTAGGCCTCAAACTCAAGGCAATT